ATAGCAGGGTTGCCACATTTGGCGAGAAATCCTCTACTTGGCGACATTTGGCGCTATGCCATGGACGGATGGAGAACCTTCTGGAACGAATCCTTACCGGTTTAGCCCAGAATGTTCTTGAACACAAGCCAAAAGCTATATAAATCCTGCTGGTCCGCGCAGTCAGTTAATGTGTGTGTGCCTCGTCTAGCGAGCTGATAGTCAGTCAGTCATTGAGCGAGTGTCTCGAAGTCCAGTGCCAAGTTGGTCGTCGAGTGCATCGAGAGTTAGTGCATCGTCGAGAGCTATACTCTTGTGTATCGTCGAGTGCATCGCGTAGAGAGTCTCGTGAGTACGTGGAGTTCCGAGAACGACCAAACAGAGTCGGAAGCTATACTCTGGTGCTTTGCAGTAAAGCCATCTCCACCGTTATTGTCTGACAGTGTGAAGGCTGTGTCGCTGATTGTTCCAGCGTGTTTATAGTAGATTTTTGATGACTGTAAAAAGTGTTATTGGAGCTGTTCTGAATAATATTGGCTAAATAAAGTGTGTTTCGATACTTCATCCAGTGTCATCGTTATTCACTCCAAATCCATAAACCCCGTGCGAACGTGAAGGAAGAAAATAACGTAACAACTGGTGTCAGGAAGAGAAAAACGTAATATTATATATTCACACAAATTAAGTTAACAGACATTATTTAAATATAATTCTTGAAGAGTAAATCCAAGAAGTTTAGCCAGTCAGAGGGTTTGGAAATGAAAATATAATTATGTATGATGCTCATCTGCCATAAAAGAAATTATTTTTGCTTATGTTAATGCTAAAGCTTAAAAATTTCAGATAATAATGAAATCAATCCACTTAATGTGTTATGCAATAATGGATTATAATTTTGTGATCGGGGTAAAATAGGTTGTGCAAATAGCAGAATTAAAAGTGTTCCATGACATGAAATTTGATTAAAAATGATGATGTAGCTGCCAATCTTGAAATATAGGAAATCATTCTCATGGAAGTTTTTGCACTGCAAGTTGTGCCATTTTTATTCACTTTAAAATGCAGATCAACTTAAAATGCATGATTATGGATATTAAACTATTTATACAATTCTCAATGCAAAATGTATTATTTAAATATTCAAAATTCTATGCCCTTTGTCTAATTTTACACTGAGTAAGGAAAAAGCTTTTATTTATCAAAACACTATTAAATGGGATGAAAAAAAAAATTAAATCACTGCACATAATATCATCTGAATAAATTAGGTAATGTACTATTTATGGACGTGAAACAAAATTAAACACAAATATTAACTAATTAAACACTAGTAAAAAAAATTTAAAAAAAAAAAAAAAAAAAATGCAGATGTCTTCAGATCTTATAAAATTTGCAGGAAAGCACAATTTATGTTTCATTAATTCTATAAACTTATTTTACTGTGAGGACAATTTTCCTTAATAAAGGCTAAAAATTAAAAACCATCAAATAAAGCAATCTATTTGGAGATTTTTTAATAAGTGGGAAACTTAGCAGCTATGCTACTGCCAAGGCTTAAAAATTCTGAATTAAACTGTATGAGATACAAACACATGAGTCTGCAACACTGCTTACAACCTTTATAAATGGTAGATTTAAGGTTCATTTATGTTATTTAAAATAAACAACTGATAATAATTTTCAGTAAAACCAAAGATTAATCTTACAAATGTAAATTTTAAAAAGCATTAAATACACATTTAGAATAATAAACTATTACTCCTTATTTTCAGTTTAAAACAATAAATTATATCTGCATATATTATGATATCACAGGCTTAGTCCTACACCTCTCAATGTCTTTTATGCAGCATATGGTTAGCTTTTATTGAATGATCTAAAATTCATTGAATTCAAAAACAAGGTTTTCTAATACTTGCTCAATAGCTTCAAAGTAAGATAATAATTTATTTACGAAAGAAATATTGATTATATTATCTCATATATATAACCTCTTATACATGGTTGCAATTATTAATATTGTTGAGGAATTGCTTTGATTCCAATTTAATCTTAACTTTAGATGCATTAAGTTTATATATATATATATATTTCAAGTAAAAAGCTATGACAGAAGCTTATGAAATTATAGTGTGCATGCGTGTGTGTGTATTACACATGCATGCATACTACAATTCCTTAAGCTTTTGCCTATCTAGAGACAAAGCAGAACTTATTTTGAATTGAATAAATGACTTATCAATGTTACAGCTGAAACCTCAGATTTATTAAAAAGAAAAATTTGTTCTTCAGCATTTTTTCCTTTATGCTTCTCATTTCCTATGCACGAAAATCTTTATAATTGCTATTTTCAAGAAACTATATTATAGCTGCCAGCCTTAAAGCATGCAAAATCAAATGCCGAAAACTAAAAATTTCTAGGAAGTTTTCACACTGTGCACCGATGTATTTCAAAAGAACTTTAAACTGTTTTATTCATTTTATAAAACATAATTCACATACTTGAACTATTTATGTTATTCTGATATACAATATATTAATATTTAATTGAATACCATAAATTTTATAATTTTTGTACAATTTCATTCCGCAATTTCCTTTTAAAAGAACATTCCAAGTAAGAAAGATAATAATTTTACAAGAAAGAATGACAACTGAAATATGCTGATGAAAGTAACAATGGGGTGGGATAACAAAATATGCAGAGTTCAAGTTTCATTTATTGACATGAAAATACTTTCATAAACAAAGGCTAAAAATTGAAAACTGGGAGATTTGGCCATCTATGGGGAGACCAGAAGATGTGACAAAAAAAAAAAAAAAAAAAAAAAAAAAAACAGGAGAGTCAGCAGCTATTTGTTTGAATGCGATATCTGAAAAGGTGCAGACGAATAAATTCTTGACAGATGCCAGAGAATTTTAAAAGTAAATTAATCATATACATTTAAAATGAATGTTAAAAAAGCTTGCATCCAGAAACAAGGATTGATTTAAAGCAAAAAATTTGCTAATGTTCATGATGCGCACTCATAAAAACAGCACTGATGTAGAAGCTAAAACCAAAATTCTGTTAATATTAAAAATTAAAACCAGATTACAAGTGCTCGCAGACTATTTGAATTCTATTGCATGTTTGTATAGATTTTAATTTTTTTACTTAGTTTCTTTTTTTTTTTTTTTCTTTTTTTTTTTTTTTTGTCATTAAGACATATCTAAAGTTTTCAGATTGTAATTTTTCCCTTAGATGCTTTGTACTTCAAAAACCTTTACTCATTTACAACATTTGCAAGTTTATTATGTATCTCATTTTTATAAGCTTTTTATAGTAAGACTATAAAAAGCTTTACTCATCTACAACATTTGTAAGTTTATTATGTATCTAATTTTTATAACATGTAACTATTAAGAGCATATCTTTGTAATAAGGATAAATTTCTGTATTAACTTTTTTTTTATCTTATTCTCACATCACAGATTTCTTTTTATATTATATGTTCAAAGAAAAGCATAAAAAACTATTATTGCATTAACATTTTTCTATGCTCAACTTTAAACTTCTAATATATAAATTTCCAAATTTGAATTTTTCATGCCTTTACCACTGTTTATTACTTCCTTATATTCTTCCCACTGAATTATTTTTACATTTAGCCATCATTTTAATTGCTAGTTATAAACAGAGGAAATTAATTTTTGTTAAGGAAGAACATTTGCAGCAGCCAATGACACATTACACTGAGATTGAAGAGCCTCTGATGAGTGGATGAAATTAATATATATCCCCAACTACAAAACATTAAACAAGTTTGTAGATTCTACAACTAGTATGTGTACACCATTCATCATATTGAAGCTGTAGCAAATGCCAAATTGCTCAAAAATGAGATAAAAAAAGAATTTATAAGGCTTTACCTCAAATTTCCTTAGCACAATAAGGCCCACCAGCGGCCGAGCAGTAAAATCGCTGAACACTGGTAGTTCGGTCCGAGGTTCGAATCCCGCGAACGGGCTGGTTGCATGGGTGTTTTCGTGGTTTTCCCCATGTGTTACGTGCATACGAGCCAGTTTCCCTTAGAACGTCCTCCACGAAGGCATCCCTCCCCTTAGGCAGATAGCCCTAGTGTGCTTTGCCATAATTAAATACACCACCTTAGCACAATAAATAAAACACAGAAACAGGCTAAATTCTGAATACTGTCAAATGCAGTCCTTTTCAAAAATGCAATTTCATATCACAATTTACAAACATCTTTTTCATTTTTTACAAGCCCCCCCCCTCTAAGGATCAAACCTTAAATGTTGGAAAAAATTATGTATTAATTATATGGACTAAAGCTTTAAAAAAAATTTGGGTGATAATGCAAATTTTAAATCAGCATTATTTTCAATTTTTTAGTACAAAGTGAAGTTCCAAATATCACAATAAAATTTCATAAAACAATACTTGTACGACTCTTAATGTAATGCTAGAATTCCATGTTTTCCTGAAAAAGGCTCCTTCTTTCTTTGTTTTAATGTTAATAATTATAATTAATAGCACTTAATCACCTTATCCATTATGTGGAAACTTCAAATCTCCACACAGCCCTATGAGGTGACCAACCTTTAACAATAAAGTACATTTTCTTTTCACTAACTCTATGCTTTAAAAAACTTCAAATTTTCGAACTGTAGTTAGAACTGGTAGTGTGGAATTAAGCTTTGGCAAGCAGAAATTAAAACACTGCCAATGGATTACCTGCAGAAGTAAATACATATTTTGAAACAATAAAGTATAAAATATGATAATTATGTTATTCTCGAATGAGAATTTCAACTAATGTTAACTTAGGCAACAATGTTAGCATCAAGGGCTTCAATTTTTCAGTTTCAATGAGGAGATCTCAAAATAATTCTATCCACCATCTCCATTTCTTGGCAAAATGTGCCTGAAATAAAACTCCTTACACAAACAGTAAATACATTATCAGTTGTTTTAAGTTTCAGCTTTCTTCAAACCAATTTCTTACATTCTTTCTTACCGTCTGTCTGCATGTTTTAATGTTGAACTTCAGTGATATGCAATACTCTAAGGGAACTAGATCATTCTCGACTTTCCAGCAATATTTCATAATTCTGCAAAAAATGGATATCTTTTGTTTTGAATATTTCAAATACCAGAAGCCCATTATAAAAATAAAAAATTCAAAACAAAAATAAACACACAAAATCAGAGAAAGTTAAGGATATGGCTGTGATTACAAAGCAGATATTTACTTGCAAGTTATACCTTTGCAACACCTGCAGTTAATACACAAATTTTGAAAATACAGAGGGAGTTGCGACTACATGTGCGAGGTAAATATCAAATGTTACAGTATATTGTAGATGATAATGGAAAACAATGTGTATTAAAACTTGAAATTTAATTAGCCCAAAGCGGAAATTTCCCCAGAATGGCTATTAACTTCATTTTGGCACTTTGTGTTGATTCACTAAAAACAGTGAATCACTTTTTAAATTGTTGCCACCAAATGTTACAGCCCTGTATTATATTTAAAGATATTAAATAATGAAGAATCTGCATAAAAGTATATATCTTGCACTGTGATAAAACAACAGTACCTAGGAGCCATCAAATTTTGAAAAATTAACGTCTCCACCCGAATATGGGCATTTGGAATGTTTTATAATCTATTTCATATTTTGTAAAGCATTTATGAGTTTTTGATTAAGAAACTAAATGATTTCAAAATGAGCAATGACACTACTGTTAAAAATTATCCAGCGTGCAATACTGTGTAAAAAAAAAATTCTAAAGATATGCACTTTTAAATGTTTTGTCATATTGCTTTTGAATTAAATTTTATGGTTTAATTGCCAAAACATGATATTTAATAAATAAAGGTAACAACCACAAAATATTAAAGAAAAACCCCTTTGGACGTAATATCTGAAAGCTCTCAGATTTTTTTTTATTTCCCCCCCCCCTTTTAAATTGGAGTTGCATGGAGTAGTCTATATTTTGGGGTATCCTTTGAATTATTGCCAAATTAGCTAAGTGGAAACCATTTATTACTAAGTGATTTCAGTTACGATAACCTCAGTATTTTAACGTGGAAACCCTATCATGACGTGATTGGTTCTAATGCAAGATCAGGGTGCTGAATTTGATTTGGGGAAAAATAATTTTCATGGCTTATTTCTGCGTTAAATGTCGGTTAAGCAAGTTGCTTATTTTTTGCTTTACACTGTAAAATTATTGCCCAGTGATTAAGATTAACTTGAAGATGCCCTATGATTCATTCATAATTCAACGGAATATCTTACCTGGAACAACAATCATATCTGACTGCTGGAAGTCATACGACTGTCTTTCTGCAATAGATTCATTATTTCTCAGTAAATTATGCAGTAACATTCAGAAGCTGGATCAACACTATCAAAGGTATGTGTGGGGTGTAATTAATAGGGATTTTCAAGAGAAATGTCATCAACAGTCCGGCATTATAAAGAACATTTTTTATTCTTACTTTTGGGAATTTATGAGGCGATAGCAGTACATAGATTTAGTTCAGATAATTTTAACCAGGTTTTGGATTCTGTTAAGGAATTCTGTGTGCTACACACTGAAGACACAAATTTCCAAATAAGGTAAGTTGATATTTCCTTTTTGAACTGCGCAGATTAGATGACATGCATTTCTAATTTTATGTTATTTATTTGTTTTATTTTGATTTAAAATGCAGTTTACTGAGATTATAATTTTATTGCATTATGTTTTGGATGCCATTTTACTTGGAAGAGCATTGCACATTAACAGGAATGGCAACAAAAAATTGCCAATTTTCGCCAAGGGGGACCCTGAAATATATTTTTTCCATCACATGTCTGACAACATTAAAACACGTTACCCAAAAATGGTACTAACATATAGCAGAAAGTTATAGCTGCAGTGTGGGCAACTGAACACTGGAATAATTGTAAGGCCACATAACTGCTGGAGAAATGTGGTTTTAATTCAATACTTTTACCATTAATTCCGAGTAAAGTGGGTGAAATGAAAGCTTCCACAATATAAACAAATATCCAGAAAAAATCAGTAAGAATGGTAAAAGCATTCAAAATGACAAACAGTTTAAAGCTGTTTTATTCTTTAGTTTGAAGAACTGGCACTGCCTCATTTCCCCAAACATAAAGTCATCAAATGATACAGTTGTCAATTATGAAAAATAAAATAACTGAAGGTAAATGTATCACTCGATATGCTTCATTCCCCTTTTCTGATTGTCTTATAATTTTACACTGATAAAAATCCAAACAAGAAAAAAAAAAGTTTTTATTTATTAATGTGCTTTTAAAAATAATCTATCATTAATATGCATAAAACATGCCATAACATACCATTAAACACAGATAATTCTTCATAAAGTGTTTCATAAAATGACTATAATTGACTGAATCAGGTTAAATCAAATAAAAATTATTCAGGAAAATTATGCTGAAATTCAAATTTTAACTATGTATATTTTTATCAGGAAAACTATCCCGAAATTCAAATTTTAAATATGTATATATTTTAAGTTCTATTAGCTTAATTTTTCTGAAGAATTTGTCATCAAAATTTTTTACATTTTCATTTTGTTTAACACTTAATGATCAACATTCTTCTAAAACTACACTAGAAACAATGGAAAGACATAAAAGATCTAAATTCAAAGAAATTAGAAATTAGGAAATGTGGAGCCAGCATTTTACAGGAAGAGTTAGCAGCTCCATTATAGCCATACTTCTGGCTTTCCCTGTAAAGTAACAGCTGATTGTGGAAAGCTCTTAAACTTTTTAAACTACTACTAGAAATAAGACTGTTCCACACTTAGTCCAAAACCAGCAACTTGTTTTTGAACAAAATATACGAAAGGCAGAAAATGAACATTTTCTCAGTACACTTCAAAATTTACTCGAAAAAAACTGATTTGACACTAATTATCTTTCTGTCAGACAAAACTAACAATGTGCACTTTATGCAAAGTTTTTACTCAAACACTTTTTACTACTGAAATAATTCCAGATAATCATAACATCACAAACATAAATTCTGTATTAAACTTTGCCTGCAAAGTGAAAGCATTATTTTGCATGATAGCAATACTCACTTCAGACTAGGCTCCAAGGTGTTTGAGATGAAACTTTGTACAGTGATTTAGTGGAGCAAATACTTTACCATTCATTACCACCTAATTATTAGAAAAATACAATATCAAAAAGACAACTCATTTTAAAGTAAAGAAAATACTAATCACATAACAAACAATACATAAAATAATAAAATATACTATTTCATTAACAAAAATCATACTACAAGACAAATTTATAAAATAATCACATAAATCATTTCATTGGTTCCGAGAAGACTGCACAACAAATGAAACATGCAAAAAATAATTATATATTATTTCTTAGGCAACCCCCCCCCACAGTGTAGGATTTACATATAAGTTATACCAAATATTGGGGTGTTCTAAAAAATTAAAATATAGTATAACAGACTTTTAAAAGGCCCCATAACTCAAATAACATAGGGCCTTACCAATTCCAAATCTGGCTCTGAACCCCCATAAGATTACATATTATGAGTTAGTGGGGTGCATTTAAAAAAATTGCTAATTCCCCCAATCATCCTATTTTGGCGATTGCAATTTTGAAAGAAACATATAAAAAAAAAGCTAGTATCACCCACTCACTCCCAAAAAACTGAATAGAAACAAAATGATAATAAGTCCTATTTAAGTAAATCAAACTGAATATTAAAAAATCAATCATATGAAGAACTTGGAATTTTATATACTGAGGAGAAATCAAGTATTAAAAAGAAGCCAAAATAAAACTTGATACATCTTCAAAACATGAAGAAAAGCATTTAAAAATCAGCAATAAATAATAGAAAACACATTATATTCACACCTAAAACTTTAACATAACATAGAGCAGGGGATGGGCAAACTATGGGCCACTGAAAAGTTCTATCTGGCCCGCGGTTGGAATTTTTATTTGTCACCCCGAGGCAAATTAAAAGAAATATAATTTATATATTAATCTCCTTTTCTACTTTGTTTAAATATTCCTTTTTTCCTTCCTTTTTTTCAAAGGACTGATGATCTTTTTACTTTCTCTATTTTTGTTCTACAAAACATAAATCGACGGAAATAGCAAGCACAGACAGCTTTTAATCAGTAAAATGTTAAAAGTAGAAGTTCTTTCTTTGTTACAGCTGTCGATTGCCGCCAACAAGCGTCATCTCTTTCTCGGGGAGTAAACATATGGGAATCCAATATAGACGAATTAGACCTCACATGATGTGGCAGACTGCACATTTTAAGCTCCAGCCAGCAGCTTTTTCTTTTGGTGCGAGTTCTATTATTGATTGTGTATGGAAAGACTGCAGACATAGCATCTTTGTGAATTGTGGTGAAATTATTAAAAAGTATACCTAGTGCTTGTTTGATTTATTTGTAAAATATTTCAACCCCAAAATGGCTACTAAAAAACATAAAAGTTGATTTAGAGTGCCGTGCTTTTTATGATGAATGGACCTGGAAATATTTTTTTACAGTTGTAAAAGATAAACCAGTGTGTTTCATTTGCAATGAAGCTGTAGCAATCTTCAAAGAATATAACATTTCTCATCATTTCACATCTAAACATAAGGATTCAAATTACAAAGCAATGTCCGAATATGAAAGAAAACAAATTGCAGAAAGTCTTTGTAAAAAATTATCAGGCCGACAATATTTTTCTAGAAAGTAAACACTCTCCAAGAAGCAGCTACATATGCAAGTTATACTGTAGCATACAATATTGCTAAAAATAATAAAGCTGTCAATAATGGGGAGTCATTAACCATGCATCTCCAAGTTTGAAGTTTTGTCCACACAAGAAAAATAATTTTGAGACTGTTACCTTATCTCGAAAACGATGACTTCTAAAACATCAATGAAAATTTGACATCATAATTAGAATCAAAATTGGCAGTTAAATTGCCCATAGCTAGGATGAAAGCATGATATAAATGATACTGCTTAATTATATATTATGCGATGTGAGATACTTGAATTACCGAGGAACTGGAGTGCAGTGCTCTTTAAGGGAACTACAATGGATGTGATATTTTCGTGAATTTCAGGAAGGGTTTTAACTTTTGAAAGTGCCATAAAAATATATGTAACCCAGTCAAAGTTAATCAGAATCGTCGGACTTCGTCGATTCGGATTATCGATTTTTCCGGATTATAGATATCAGTTTAATCTGGTAATAGCATGCGGAATTATAAATTTAAAATTGAACTAATTTATGAATAATGAGCAATATGATCTAAAGGTATCAAAATTCAAAAAAAAGAGGTTAATATTTATTTGTTACTTTTTAACATTTCTTTCAAGTAAGTTGTTTAGTTGCTTGTTTTAAGTGAGACTACTTTCTCTTTAATTCTAAGACAGACATATTTCTTGTTCGTACAAAGAAAGTTTTGCTGTTCAAATCCTATAATCGCTGTGTCGAAAATACCGCTATTTGTCAATCAAAATTTTTTGTTTTCAAAAACCTCAGTGTCTTTTCTCACTCTCGGAAGCAATTATAAGACGAGGAATTGATTTAATCAATCAAGAGGAGCCATCGAGATGAATACTACTTAGTAAGGAATTTAAGCCAAATAAAAAAAACACTGCCTGAGCTAGGAACCCCAAATTGTGTAAAGTTTGACACAGAGGGCATTTGAAATACAGAGTCTTTCTCGTGGGAAAGGGAAAATGCTGAAATAAAAATTTACTAAACACGAGGATAAAACTTGAGCTAGTACACAAGAATAATGAAATAAATACTTGTATCGTCCTAGCGCAGAGTCAATAACTCCATTCCTCCATGAACATATATTTCTAAAAGATTATAAATAAGCATGAAATATTACATCATAAACTGTTTATGTCACACAAAAGAAAAGAGAAGACTGGTGCTGCCTCTATTGGCTTCCCCCGTGTGGGCGCACAGGTTTTAAAATCGATAAATAATCTGTAATTATCACTTTGACTGAAATGAACTAAATAAAAGATTCAGCATGGGTATGTGATATAGTGCAGATTGGAATTTTTTTCTTTCCTCCATCGAATTTATCAATCTTCCAACATGATACCTTGGAACGATGTATTTAATTTCATAACTGTAAAATATTGAGCATTCATAGGGTGATGTTGCCATTTAGAATCGAAAGAAAACACTAGACACTTATGATTATAGCTTATAATATTACAGGCCCTGATTTGCTATCTGATTGCTTGGCATAATATTATATATCATGGGAGCACATGGAGCATATATTAGAATCTATGATATTTTACCTTTGCTAGCTCTTCTACACCCAACATAATTTCGCATCCCAAAATTTTGACAAAATTGCACCATTTTTTATGAACCAGGAAAAACAATCATAATTATAACTACACGTCACCACCTAAATAAAGCTCAATTATAACTACATGCACCACCATCTAAATAAAGCTAACTTGGAGATGTTACATCTAATATAAACATGCAACATAAATGAGAGTAAGCAAAAGAAAGATAAGAAAACCCTTTGTAGAAGGACAATCATAATCAAAGTCTTTGGAAAACTGAAATAATCGGAACATAATTGTACACAATTATGATGCGAAACATATCCGAATCAAATATTAGGATATTAAAAAAAGAGAGAAAGATATGTTATTAAAGGTTTCACTGTATTAGGAACAAATATTCTCACAGCAATCAATAAGGTGTATATAATAGTTATCAAAATTAAAGAATAATGACAGAAATGAAACGTAAGTTATACTTCATTAAAAATTATTAATAGAAATTTGTACAAAATCATTAATTAAAATAAATTACGTCCGGCAGTTTATTCGCAAAATATTGAAATTAAAACCAAACATACAGAAACTGGAAAATGATGGAAAAATCACCTTTTATGGAAATTTTTTTTTTAATATGGTGTATGGTCACCTGGGACAGATATGCATACCTCACATCTTGATTTCATAGACTTTAGTGTTGATTAGGTCTTGTAGAATTGCACACTCCTCTAAAAGTGTATTTTTCAGCTCCTGGAGGATCTAGGCAGAAATTTGAGCATGCTGATATTCAGTGCCTCCATTTGAGTGATATCCAGTAGCGTAGCTAGGGTGGGGCAAAGGGGGACATCTGTTCCCGGGCGCAGCATCCAGGTGGTGCCAAATTGATACTACGAAATTTTTTAATGAAATGTTTTCCATTCTTGGCACACAGAAAGGAGCGCAAATTCTTTAGTTGTTCCCAGGCGCTGGAATCCTAGCTATGCCACTGGTGATATCTTCTGTCTGCAAGTATTCTGACACTATATATGCTCAAAGAGGTCGAGCATTGTCATCCATTAGCAAAAACTCTCGGCCAACAGCACTACTAAACAGTCTAACCTACGGTTCCATTACCTCATCCACATATTTCACAGTGGTTACAGAACCTTCATGACAGATATGCAGCTCAGTGGGTGCTGCCATTTGTCATTATTCCTCCCCAAACTATTAAACTGTGGTCGTGGAAACAGGACATTTCAAGGCCAAGGGAAGGCAAGTTATGTGTTCTTTCCTCTATTCAAATCAAAACACATCTAGATTCACTCTTCAGACTATATCTGGACACATCAGTAAATGATATCTGGGCCCAGTCATCTAGGCTGCACTGAACATAAGGACGACACCAGTTTAAGCAGGCCCCTCTGGAAGCTTTGAGCTAGCAGAGCTTTGGTTTCTTTGAGCTAGCAACAGAAAAGTGTCTTCTGATGCAGTTGTTGCTCTTAGTCGCCCTTGCCCAGGCTGTCTATTACGGAGCTTCAAAAGTGGTTCCAAACTCTTGATATGACACTTTGATGGGTATTCAAATCTTGGGCGACGTCCGTGTTTGACCTCTCTCAATTCTACAAATTATTTGCCACTCTTGACCTTCACTTAAATGCCTTTATGCCTTTGAGCCAATACTGATCATTCTCAGAAACCACACTCGCTTCAAATACTACAGACTAGAATTCTAACATAATTGCATTTCCTTAACATAAATAATTATGGCACTGGTTGCAACATTAACTTAGTTAACATATTTTTTCTCATTATCCTTTAGTTTTGATGCCCAGTGTACATGACTGTTCATGGGATCCTAACAATGGGGTTTA